GATAGTAAATGCTTAAAAAGAAGTAATTTCATTGTTAACCTATTGGTGTTAGCTTTAAAGACTATCATATACTTTTGCAAATAAATAAAATATTTTCTACGTATAGTTTATTTTACTATATATAAAATTCCTATTTATCAATCTAATGATCTGTTTGAACCAATTAAATTATTTAAAACTCCAATCTACATACATAAAAAGGACCTGAAATGACCACTGTATATTTATAGGGAAACATGTTTCCTGTAAAGATGTATTTAATGTTACAATTTAATGGATATTCTCTCCCAATGGAAAAAATAGACTAGAAACGAATGGTTTTGGAAGAATCTGTGTCCTTAGATAATTTTTTTGAGTTTCTGATTCCTCATCTTAAGACTGAACATGTTTGTTCAATTTTTTATCCCTTTTAGAAAATATAATAATAATTTTAAAAATTTAAATATATGATTCCATTTCGACAGCTATGTTTTAACATATATATATAATATGATTTCATTCGTTTACTAATCATTCATGCATGCATATATTACTATTGACAAACATTTGATCTGTTCTGCTTTCAGTGTTATTGCCGTTAAATTATTCTTTCATATTACAGCCAAGTGATTTATTTCACTCCACTATATATGTTTATTTCCTTCTTTCACTAACAGAATAAAATTTAATTTTATATGTCAAGCAAGCTTTCAACATGACTTAATACTACTTTTCTCTTCAGCTTTAGCTAGGCTAGATAAGGACTAGAATTTCTTTTAAACCTCTTTGCCTTGTAGCAAACCTCTTTGCCTTTGTAAAATATAAATACATCATTATATACAGGCGAAAGTCTTTCTTGTGCCTGTATTCTAACTTTAGTGCCCAAACCTTTGTGTTTCCTAAGTCTTACCTCTGACTTCACACTTACCTTATTAAATTTACATTATCAATTTGTATGTCAGTCTCCTTCATTGAGTAGTAATTTATCTGAAGAACCAAGCCTTTTCTCATCAATCTGGGTATTGCTGGTGGCAACATATTGCCAAGAAATGAAAATGAGCAAAACAATTATTTTTCATTTAATTGGTTAATTCATATGTTACAAATTAATATGGCAAATACAGTCAATAAATATAGAAAATTCTGCAATCACAAAATCTAAACTAACTTAGCTAATGCTCTCTCACTTGATTTTCAAATATGGCATGCAACTATACAAAGGAGACATCCAATTAAGTTGACTATACCTATGAACAAGTAAGTATTCTTTTAGAAATATGTGTATATACTTTGGTTTTATAAATTGCATATAAAAGCATCGTTGGAGAAATTGAAATGATGTTAGAGTACTTTAGTCACTACAATGTATGTAAGTATTGTAAAAGTATGCTCATTTGTCTTGGACATTTTCAATAAAAATGTACTTTTTTCAGTATCATAAAAATTCATGGTAAAAACATAACTTTTATGGCAATGCGGAGCCATCTGTTTTGTTCAGATCTTATCATTGTTTTGCTCTGGAAAACAATAATTAAGTATGTTGGCAGTAAGAGAAATAACAGTTGGACTTTTTTAGACGATTAACAGTATGAACAGTATAGCTAGGAAGGGAATTTTCTCACAGATTCCAAAAATATCCCACCTTTACAACTCTATAGCAGAGGAACCTGGAGAGCCGCCCACTCTCTCCTACCTACCACCAAATGGCTACAATATCTTCAATGTACGCAATATTTTCCAGAGCTGTTTTTGCTTTCTAAAAGAGGAATGTTTATTACTGTTACATTACCTCCAACTTGCAGCTGTCATTTTCTTCTTGTTTTCTCTAATTTCTACCATAGCACTTAGTATCAAATACTCCTTTTCTTTCTTTTCTCATTTCTTTTAATGCTAGCATTTATTTTCAGGTATATCTATTTAAAATAATTAGAAATTTGGTATGCACCTTGCAGTTGAATCTAAAATATATAATCCTGTTCTTAGAAATAGACATTTTCTCCACTACTTACTAAGAAGATAATTTATTTGCTATCAATCTGAAATGTTTAGATGATCATCCTGGTTTTGATTATAGAAATGGTAATATTATATAGAAAATTCCATCTACATTCCATAGGGATTCCTCCAATTATATGACATTGTATAAGAATTTTAATTTAAGTATAAATTTAAAACCACACAGTTCTTAATTTTCTCATTCATTCCATTAGTGTATTTTGATTTTTTTTTACTTAAGTTCAAAATTTGTGATCTATATGTATTTGTAAACCTATTAAGTTTTATTCTCAAGTTAGGTTATAGCAAAGATATACCAAGTATCTATAAAGGGTAGAAAATTTAATTCAAAATTCTGTTTTGGCATGTTCAATATTAAACATCAAGATTTTTAGTCAAATTTTTCAGGAATTATATGTATTTGGTTTTATATAAATAATCAAACTATACATGTCACTCTCCTTGGTCTTGTACACTTAATATTAGTGTGTTTCATTCTTGATGCCTGTCACACACACAATTGCATTTGCAAACATACAATTGAAAATATATCTCATCAGATTTCAATAAATGGCAAAATATTTTCAGGTCATTTTGCCTTTGTTGTTTACTATAACATTATACTGTATTCATAAGATCTATTGCAATGGAAACCCCAACTAAAAAAGTTGTTCCCTGGGTACCTCTCAGAGTATTTTGTATATTATATCCAAGTGTTTCTTTTTTCTTCTTCTTGTTTTTTGTTGTTGTTGTTGTTGTTTTGTTTTTTTGTGGGAGAGGGAAGATAGGATCTTGCTCTATTGGCCAGGCTGCTGAAATGCAAAGGTTCAATCATGGCTCATTGTAACCTGGACCTCTTGGGCTCAAGTTATCCTCCTGCCTCAGCGCCCGAGTAGCTATACTGCATGTGCAAGCCACCATGCCCAGCTAGTTTTGTCATAGAGACAGGGGTTCCACTATTATGCCCAAGCTGGTATTGAACTCCTGTCCTCCTCAAGCAATCCTCCAGCCTTGGCCTTCGAAAGTGCTGAGATTACAAGCATGAGCTACCATGCCTGGCCCAAGTGTTTCTTGCTTATTAACCATATTAAAAGTGATTTGTGTATTATTAATCATTTTTATCCAACTAAAATTTAGAGCTAAATAGAAAATTTTGTTTTCCACATTTATGAAGGAATATAAAAAGGAAGACATCCTCCAAGGATATGAAGAAAAGTTTACCATACACTCTTATAAGAAAAATTAAACTAAACATATATCCATATTTACATGTATCATTTCAAATATTTGATTATAGACTGATTTTTTTGCACAATTTTTCTAACTAAATATCATCCCCTGGTTATCTCATGACTATGAGGTTTATTAAATTCCCTTAATGCACTTAAACCAAGTTAACAGATATGAAATCCCACATTGTATAAATTTTTTTAAGTCAACATTTTGTTCTCTGTGATGTATACTATGCTGGTAAACACATCCCATGAATTATAAGTTTTTTTAATTCAGGTATATTTTACTCAGAATTATATTTTTATGTAAATCTTTTTTTTGTAACTTCTTCTTTGTTTAGGGATTATATCCTTTCATTCATCATAAGCACATTCCATCTTCACCTTTGTATTCCAAAAGATACCTGGTATCTTTATAAAGAAATATATTTTTATGTTTAAGTTTGTTGTTATGGCCTCTGTTACTTACACCTCAAATTTTCCCTTTTAATACTCTTTCATAATTCTTCAGTTAGTAATACAATAATAAATAACTTTTATTGAGTAGCTAATATATACCAAGCTATTATACTATATTATGTATTATAAATGCTCATTCTATACCTTATATACTATAATATGTACTACACTGTAAGTCATGTTTTATATATTATCTCATTTAGTATATGACATAATACTGTAGCAATCTTGAAAGCCAAATTCTTAAGTTTATGTTCTAGCTCATCTGCTACATCACAGACAATTAGATGGCTAATGGAGATTCATTTCCCTTCCCTAGTAAGAACTTTTTCTTTCATGGAAATAAGCTGCCATGCTAAGCAATGTTTTTTATCATATATTCTTATTTCTCATATCTCGTAGATGGGACCCTGGACTTAGGTCTGTCTGAGGCAACCTGTGTCAATCCCATATTCAGGTGATAAGTGCATTATGTGCTTTCCTCACATTCTCTTTTCCCAGACTGCATGCTCAATGATGTCAAAGTCAACTTGAATGCAAAAGGTGTCAGATTTTCATCATGGTATTAGCTAGGGACCCTGACTCCTACTTCAAAGGATGCTTCCTAGGAGGGCTACTTGACCAGTTACATTTTCATTGGATTTCATATAAGCAAAACCAAACTTTTACTGTATTATTTCACTGAGATTCTTATCCTGCTTGTTATAGCAGTTAACCAATAGTGATTAAAGTATGACCTTTTATAAGTTATTAATATTTACCTCTGTGATGCCTTAAATTCATTATTTATTATGTAGGCACACATATCATATGTGGATCACATATCAGATTGTGGCACATGATAAGCCCTACATGATTATTTGTTGTTATAATAATAATTATAATAATTATTAGGCAAACATATGGTATGTACCATTCTAATACTAATTATGAGGAAACTAATACTAATTATAGAGAAACTGAGCTATTATTTGTCATTTGATCAACCAGAAGTTCCCTTTGATTCTCTTCAAACATTCATGAAACATGTTAAATAGACATTAGAACAATATGCTGGATATAATCTGATCATTATTTCATAAGTTCTAATATAAAAAAAATACTTTAATATAATAAAAGATCATAACTTAAAACTACTTGAAAGTCTTGATCATATTAAATAATTCTTAATAAACAAAAATTATAAATACTACCCAGAATATTATCATTGTCCTTGTTTTCAAGGAAGTTTTGTGGTAAGTTAAATAAATTGTAGCTTATACTGACAGATGCAATTACTGTAAAATTATAGCTTGTCTTGACTGTATAGTCTACTTATTATTTTAATCTGTTTAGGCTTGTCCTTCAGGATGACTGGATCTGCAAGTTATATTCAACTAAAGAAAGTTACATTTGTTCCTGTAACGTTGCACAGAAAGGCCATCGAACATCTGACATGCAGGCCATAAGAGGAGGAGACGGCACTTTAGAATCCAAAGAAAAAAAGTCAATCAGAGTAGGGGTTCTTCCCCCAGATCCTAAGGTAGAAGAAGTTACTCTTATTTTCAAGGCTTTGAATTAGCCAATCTTTTTTTTTTTTTATTTCAGCATATTATGGGGGTACAAATTTTAAGGTTATGTATAATGCCCTTGTCCCCCTCAAGTCTGAGCTTCAAGTGTGACCTTCCCCCAGATGGTGCACATCTCATTCATTATGTATGTATATACCTGTCTCCTCCATCCCTCTCCCACCTGCCCAATACTCTATAAATGTTATTCCTATGTGTCCACTTAGGTGCTGATCAGTTAATACCAATTTGCTGGTGAGTACATGTGGTGCTTGTTTTTCCATTCTTGGGATACTTCACTTAGTAGCATGGGTTCCAGATCTATCCAGGAAAATACAAGATGTGCTATATCACCATTGTTTCTTAGAGCTGAATGGTACTCCATGGTATACATATATCACATTTTATTAATCCACTCATGTATTGATGGGCAGTTGGGTTGTTTCCACAGCTTTGCAATTGTGAATTGTTGCTATAAACATTCGAGTGCACGTGTCTTTATTGTTGATTTTCCTTTGTTCTTTTAGGTAGATGCCCAATAGTGAGATTGCTAGATCAAATGGTGGAATTAGCCAATCTTTAAGAGTAGACATATGATGGACATTTTTTTTTTTTTTAGTTTACCGTCATCTGAAAATGTCATTTTTCTCTCAATCCTGAAGAATAGTTTTGCATGATATACAATTCAAGGTTGACAATACTTTTCATTCGGCATTTGAAAGATACTATGCTATTGCCTCTGCTTTCATGGTTTCAAATAGGAAACCTGCAGTTATTCAAATTGATTTTTCCTTATAGGTAATGTGTCATTTCTTTCAGGCTTCTTTCCAGACGTTTTTTGTGTCTTAAATTTTTAAAATTTAATTGTGATATATCTGGGCAGGATTTTTTTGGAGGGGTTATCCTGGTTGGGTTTTTGTTGAACTTTATTGAAACTTTGGTGTAGTTATATCTCCATATTTAAACTGTTTCAGCCAGTATGTCTTCAAATACCTTTCCAGGTCCATTCTCTTTTTTTCTTTCCTCTGTGATTCTGATAATACAAATGGTGAATATTTTGCTATTAGTCCATTGTCCATAAGACTTTGATCATATTTTTCAGTCATTATTGATCATATTATGTGAATTATAATTATGTCTCTTCTAGTTTACTGATGCTAACTCAATTATCTCTAATTTAATACTAAACCAATTGACTAAGGTTTCTGTTTGGAATTTTCATATTAAAACTTACATTCGATTCTTTTTATAACATGTTACTTTGCTATGAGTCTTATATTTTCATTTGTTTCAAGAGAATTTGTAATTACTTAATAAATCATTTTAAATATGTTTGCTTTCAAATCTTTTCTAGGTACCATAATTGATTCAACTTCATATTGACATCTGTTGTGATTGTTGCTAGTTTTATGTTAAGATGAGTGATTTTTTATGGTAGATTGGGTATATGTCTATAATATCATTAGACTCTCTGGGTCCTATTATTTATTTATTTTTTGGCTTGAAATAATACCAAATTATTTATTTATTTATTTATTTATTTATTTATTTATTTATTTATGTGTATTTGACAAATTACAATTGTATATATTTATCATGTACATGTTATTTTCAAACATGTATACATAATGGCATAGCTAATTAACATATGCATTACCTCACATGCTTATTTTTTGTGATGTGAACACTTAAAATATACTCTTGAGCAGTCTTCAAGAATGTAACACATTGCCATTAACTATAGTCATTATGTTGCACACTAGATCTCTCGAATTTAATCCTCCTACCTAACAGAAATTTAACATTTGACCAATGTCTCCCCAATCCAGCCCCACCTCAAGCCCCATTAACTGTCATTCTACTCTCTACTTCTATGAGACCAACTTTCTTTAGATTCCATATGTAAGTGAGATCATGTGATATTTTCATTCTGTGCCTGGCTCCTTTCACTTAAAGTAATGACTTCTAGGTTCAACCATGTTATTGCAAATGACAAGATTTCTTTCCTTTTTAAGGCTGAATAATATTTCATTGAAGTTATATACCACATTTTTAAAGCCACTTATTCATTTATTGACACTTAGGTTGTTTACTTCCATATCTTGTAGAGATAGACATTTCTTCATCTCTTTATTTCTTTTGGACATATACTCTGTAGTGGAATTGCTGGATCATATGATAGTTCTATTTTATTAAATACCAATGGTATAGAACTTCTATACCATTATTAAATGGCTATCCTAATTTATATTCCCACCAACAGTGGTCAACAGTTTTTTTTCTCCATATCCTGATTAATACTTGTTATCTTTCATCTTTTTATAATAGCCATTCTACCAGGTGTGAGATGATATCCCATTGTGGTTTTAATTTTCATTTATCCAGTGATTAGTTATTTTGAACATTTAAAAATATACTTATTAGCCATTTGTATGTCTTCTTTTGAAAAATATCTACTAAGATCCTTTGGCTTTTTTTGTTTAATTGGATTGTTTTCTTACCATTGGGTTGTTGAGTCCTTATGTATTTTGGATATTATCCAAATTTTATATATATATATATATATACCTGATCAGATATACCTTATCAGATATGTGGTTTGCAAATATTTTCTCCTATTCCATAAGTTGTCACTTCATTCTGTTGATTGTTTACTGTGCTGAAGATTTTTAGTTTTTGTGACCCCATTTGTCTATTATTTCTTTGTTCCTTGTGCTTTGGGGATCATAATCTAAATATCATTGCCCAAAACAATGGCATAGAGATTTTCCCCTATGCTTTCTTCTAGTAGTTTTATAAGCTTGGGTCTTACATTTAAGCCTTTAAAATACATTTTGTTTTGGTTTTTGTATATGGTGTGAAATAAAAATCTAATTTCATTTTTCTGCATGTGGATATCTAGTTATCCTGACACCATTTACTGAAGAAACCTATTTCTCTATTGTATATTCTTGACACCTTTTTCAAAAATAAACTGTAAATTTGTGGGTTTATATTTGGGTTCTCTACTCTGTTTCATTGGTGTATGTGTCTGTTTTTATACTGCTTTTTATGCCAGTTTATTAATGCTGTTTTGATTACTATCGCTTTGTAGTATATTTTGAATCAGATAATGTGACACTTCTAGCTTGGCTTTGTTTGCTCAAGATGGCTCTGGCTACTCAAAGTCTTTTGTAGTTTCATATAAATTTTAGGATTGCTTTCTTTTTCTATTTCTGTGAAAAGTGTCATTGAAATTGTATTTGATAGGGATTGCATCGAGTCTGAAAATAGCTTTGGGTAGTATTAAAATTTTAAAATATAAATCCTTCTAATCCATGTACATGGTGTTTGTTTTTATTTATTTGTATCTTCTTCAACTTTTTTATTAATGTTTTATAGCTTTTAGTGTTTTAACTATTGTAAATGGTATGGTTTTACTGATTTATTTTATTGAGTTGTGTGTTGTTAGTATTTAGAAACACTACTGATTTTGACACTTTGAAATTACTGAGTTTGCTTATTAGTTCTAAGAATTTTTTGGTGGAGTCTTTAGGGTTTTCTATATGTAAAATTATGTTGTCTGCAAACAGGAACAATTTCACTTCTTCATTTTAAATTTGGATGGCTTATGGATTTCTTTCTTTTGTCTAATTGCTCTGGTTATGACTTCTAGTACTATGTAGAAGTGATGATAGTGGGCATCCTTGTCTTGTTTCTGATATTAGAAGAAAAGCTTTAACTTTTCATTATTATATTAGCTCTGAGTTTGTCATATATGGCCTCTATTGTGTCGAGGTACATATTCTTTGATACCTATTTTATCGAGTATATCATAAATAGCGCTATTATTATCTCACTGAATTTTCACAAAAAATTGTACAGATGAACCTAAATATATCTTGAAAACTCATTTAACTACAGTTGAATTAGGTTATTCTGCAATACAAAATTTTCAAATTACTGTATCTTTTGTTATAATATGTATAACATTTAAAATCAAGTGATTTTATACAATTTTTACTAATTCATTGGGAATATTTTAGGTCATAATTGTTCCATCCAAGGTATCCTGTTGATTGCACTAAAAATATGTTTAATTAAGTTTATACTCACACAACATTTTGGTAGCATATCGTGTTATTTGGTTCATAATCTGATATAGCTAATAATTAGACTAAATTCACGGTATAATAATCTTTTTGACAATTCTTCATATACCATGTCAGTGTTTTAGAATACTGTCTGTGATTGTTTAAATGGAAAAGCCAGCCTTCAATAAAAAATCAGGTAAAAAATCATTATGTCCTCTCAGTGACTTGACTTGTCTATTCTCTTGTAATGTCTCTATGTATCCCTGCTAATTTTTGTTTTTCTGAAGTCTGCTCTGTTTGAAATTAAAATAGCTACTCCAGCATCTTTTGATTAGTCTTAGCATGGTATATTATGGTACATCTATTGCAATAGTACCAAAAACCACACAGGTATATCTCTAACAAAATATGTACATTATGTATATATGGAAAAAATTTTTAAAAGCTCTGATGAAATAAATCAAAGAGCATTTAAATAAATGGAACATTAACCATTCATTCCATGTTTGTAGATAGAAATATTCAGTATTTATAAGATAGTAATTATTTCCAAATTTATTTATAGATTTAAGACAATTCCAATGAAAATCCAAGCAAACTATCTTGTGGGAATTGGCAAACTGATTCAAAACTTTAGATAGCAAAGCAGGAAGCCCAGAAATACCAACAAAATACTGAAGAAAAACAACTCTGGAGGACTGACACTACCTGACTTCTAAACTTTCCATAAATCTACTGTAATCAAGATGCCATGGTATGTGTGAAAGAATAGACACATAGATTAATGGAACAGATATCAAGCCCATAAATAGAATCACACAATATAGCAAAAGATCAAGGACAATTCAATGGTGAAATGACAGTCTTTTCAACAAATCTTTTAGAAAATTAGACATTGTATGCCATAAAATCAATATAGAGATAGATGACAGATCTTACACCTTTCATAAAAATTAACTCAAAGTGCATTATAGAACTAAATATAAAACACAATACTATGAAACTCCTATAAGAAAACCTTGGAAAATCTTTGTAAATTTTGGTTCGATGATGTGATTTTAGCTATAACACCAAAGTCATGGTTTATAAAAAAAAAAGTTACATAATAGTTCATTGAAATTGAAAACTTATTTTTGTGTTTGTTTATATGTACTAACTTTTTATTTTTCGTTTTTATGGATACATGAAAGTTGTACATATTAATGTGGTACATGTTGTATTTTAATATAAACATACAAAGTGTAATGATCAAATATGGACAATCAGGATGTCTATCACCTCAAACATTTATCATTTGTTTGTGTTGGAAATATTCCAAATCTTCTAACTATTTTGAATTATATAATAAATTATTGTTAACTATAGTGACCTTTATATGCTATCCTATACTAGCTCTTACTTTTTCTCTTGAACTGTGTTATTGTACCCATTAACCAAACCCTCTTCATTCCCCCTTTCCAAAACCCTTTCAACCTTCTAGAAGCCACAATTCTATTCATTATCTCCATAAGATCAATTTTTTAGCTCCCACATGTGACTGAGAACATGAGACATTTGTCTATCTATGCCCGACTTATTTCACTTAACATAACATCCTCTAGTTCCTTGATGTTGTTGTGAATGATAGGATTTCATTTTTTATTGCCAAATAGTATTACATTATGTATGCATTCCACATTTTCTTTATCCATCCATCTATTGAAAAACATTTAGGTTGATTCCATATCTTGACTATTGTGAAGAGTGTTACAATAAACATGGAAATGCAGATGTCTCTTCAACATACTGATTTGATATTCTTTGGATATATATCCAATAGTGGAATTGCTAGATCATATGGTATTCTGTTTTTAATTTTTTGAGGCAACTCCACAGTTTTCTATAATGGCTCTAATAATTTATGTTCTCATCAAGAGTAAGTGTTTCCTTTCTTCCACATCTTCCCCAGCACTTGTTATTGTCCTTTAGATAATAGCTATTCTAAAAGGTATGAGATATGTCATTGGTGTTTTGATTTGCATTTCTCTGATGATTAATGATGTTGAGCATTTTTCCATCTACCTCTTGGCCATTTGTATGTTATCTTTTAATAAATGTCTATGTATTTTGCCATTTTAAAATAGGATTATTTATTTTCTTTCTATTGAATTGAGTTCCTTATATTTTTTGGAAAGTAACTTCTTGGACATATCACTTGCAAATATTTTCCCCATTCTGTAGGTTGTATCTTTATTTTGTTGACCCTTTGCTGTGCAGAGCCTTTTTTTTATTTCAAAGTATTATGGAGATACAAATATTTTTGGTTACATGGATCATTGGAATTGAAAACTTCTGGTCTGCTATAGACATTGTTAAGAAAATAAAAGGACTAGTCATGGCCTGTGGGGAAAAAATTATAAACACATATAAACGTTGTATAAACTATTAAGTGTACTCATTAGTCAATGATAAAAAATAAGCCAATTTAAAAATAGGCAAAGCATCTGATCAGATCTTGCAGAAAATGAGATATTCAGATAACAAATACATATATGAAAAGATGCTCAACATCATGCACTGTTATGGAAATACAAATTAAAACTACAATGACAAGATGCTACTACACACTTTTTAGAATGATTATAATCCAAAAATATGACAATACTACATTCTGGCAAGAAATCAGGACAACAGGAATCCTCCTGTATTACTGGCAGAAATGCAAAATGGTACAACCACTTTGAAAGACATGGACATTTTACCACTTTGTAAATGAGAATGTCTTCAAATGTTATCTTATGCTTGAACTTCCATTACATTTTGAGAGCAATTAATTTGTTTCTTCAGTTCCACAGTTTCACAGATAAAGAACAATTTACCTCAGAAAAAATATTGGTCAGACTCTATTATATTCCTTACTTAGATGATATTTGGGAGTTTGGGACTGATAAAGTTTAGACAAGATTTTGGATTTTGAATTCCTATCATGATGGTTTGAGACTTTTGAGGATGTTGGGATGAGATCAATATATTTTCCATGTAGAGTGAACATGAATATTGGGGCCAGAAAGTAGACTGTGGTTGGTGCAATGGACACCTCCAAAGATGTCCAAGTCATAATCCCCAGAACTTCTGAGTATATTACGTTACATAGCAAAGTGAACTTTTTGAGTATGGTATATTAAGAGTTTTGAGATGAATCAAGTATCCTGAATCATTTGGGTGGGTCTAATGTAATCACAAGTGTCCTTTAAAAATAGAACTAGAGAACAGAATGTCAGGGAAGGATATGTGAGGACAGAGGCAGAGACTGGAGTGATATAATTTGAAGCTGAAGGATGAAGCCAAGAAATTCAGGTAGCTTCTCCAAGCTGCAAAAACAAGTAAAGGACTCTTTCTTAGAGCCTTTAGAATTAATTATGCAGTGCAGCCAACACCTTGATTTTAGGAATTCTGAATTTAAGCCACTACATTTGTGGTACTTTGTTACAGCAGCAATAGGAAACTAATACGATAAAGAAGGGAATCTCAGGACTTCAAGGACAAAGAGACTTCCCCAGTTAGGTGTTTGCTGTAGTGAGATCTCTCATACCTCCCACACACAACCCTCCACATGATATGGGGCATGAAGGATACTTTCTTGGTAGTTGTTTATTGTAGTGTAATTCTCTCTAGCAGTGCTTTCCTGTCACTCTGGTTTCACTGGCTGGGGTATGTGTGTCTCAGACCCATGACAATTAAGGGCCACTTATTATGACAGGGTCCCTTTAGCCAATGCTACCTGGTTACCCCATTATCTTTCAGTTGGGTAGAGAAGTCTGAGACACAGTACATAAGAAAAGTATTTTGCCTGGTCACTTATTTTCAGCCTGGCTAGTTGTGTCATACTTGCCTACTTCCAGAGGGATTCCCATTTGATCCAGGGGACAAATGATATCATCTGTTTTGCCTTTTGCTGTTGAGTTGGTGATTACAAAAACACTGAGCCAGGGTCATCTTCTTCTATTGTATGGAAGAACATAAGATGCATCGATGAAGTATTCTAGCTCGAAACGGCTTAACTTCCTCATACTACCCTCAAAGTTGTCCTTTGGTTGCCTCTTGCATTATTTCCAAGGTTTTAGCTGTATTTAGCAGAGAGAAAATGTCTATTATATTTTGGCAGAACCAGAAGTCCTTATGGATTTTTATCTATCCTAATAGATTCCTTTAGGTTTTAATAAAGCATTTCAGACACTTATTTTAATATAACTATATATAGTTAAGATATATAGATGAAATGTATTTAAATAAAATACACAATTAAAATATATTTTGTTTTATATGTATTTAAATAAAATACACAAATACATTGCATTATATATCTTATATTTACATTATTTTAACTATATAAATAGTGGGGCACACAAAGATAAATATACAGAACTTAGTATGTGAGCTCAGGAATATTCTGTCCCCAATCCCACAAAGAATATAAGAAATTGTTCAGAGAAGCTCCTTCTTTCACATATTTGGAAATTCCCATGCACCAGTAAATCATACTCTCTGTCTTTTGATGTATTACATTAGAAGTTCCACAATGTGAGTAATGACAACCTCAAAACATGTTATCTTTTCTCATTCTACTTACCTCAACAACTAGAGCATGACCTTTTTTAATAACAAGAATATATTTCAATTTAGTTTAAATATCAGCACTGCATCTTTATTCTGGTAGCCTTCTGCCTGCGTGAACACATTCAAAATAATTCATATTACCCATTAAATATATTTATGTTATGCATTTTTTCTTTATAAGATTGACAAAACATTACATACAGTGACTGTGAATTATCTTCAGCATTTTTAGTGTGTTTTCAACAAATATTCTAGAAAATTATTTATGTTTTCATGGATTTAAGGAAAGTTGGGATACTTCCAATTTAAGGTGGAACAGTAAACCACAAATTTATTTCCTTTGTCTCTGAGGACCTTCTAAATCAGAAGTTCATAACTAGGGTACATGAACTTGAATAAACTTGAATTCATTTATCTATTTTCAGTAACCTCTAACTGAAACTTCTTTCCTTCAATTATATGTGCAGGCAACAAACTCCAGTAACATTAGCAATATTTATGGCTTCTATTATCACTAAAAATCACAGGTAGTTTCATATAACATTTTGGCAATTGCAGATATATAGAAATTTTGATTAGACTAATCACTACCTTATGAGAGTGAGGTACCTTATAAATTATCACTACCTTATAAATTATGATAGATATGATTAGATATACCACACAATATTTTTATTTAATGCATGAATGGAGACTCGCATTTGCTGTTATATTAAAAATACTTAAAATCTTTTATAACTTCTTTATAATGCAATTGCTTTCAGTATTATCCCTATATTTTTTTCATAAATTAAAAACATTATTTTGAAAAGTCTGTAGCATTTACTAGCCTACCATAGAGATTCACAGGACACATGCATATAGAAGACCTACTCCAAAATTATAATAAAAATATTTTTCAACATAATTTCAAAATCAATAAAGATGGAAAGAAAAGAATGGTCAATAATTCCAATATTGGAAGCTGGAAATCTGTTGGACAAGTGGTAATTTAGAAGAAGCAAAAGAGCTGAATGTTAGACCAGCAGAATAGAAAGCCAAGAAATAACTCAATTTATATAATGAATTTCCTCAAAGATTCAGAAATTGGTAATATTAATTGCTCCTGAAAGTGTAGTGAAATGTGGGGCTAAAAAGAATTGGTTAAACAATCTATTTAAGAAGAGATTTGGCAACCTTATCTCTTCTGACACTCTGTGGAACT